TATATATAGCTAGCACGCTAGATGAAGTCATAATTGCCATTTTATTAAGTTTTTTGGGTGTAGTAGCAATACAAATTCATTATAATACATTTTAATAAGCACCAGAAGAAGATAAAAACTGAACGTCGTTGTCGGAAAATTCGACAAGTATTGTAACCCTATCAAAAATTTGGTTTTCGAACATTAAACATTTCTCGAGAGGGATTACTTTCCTGGTGAATCGGTTGATCAATTCATTACTGCTCTTGGACAACTGGCATCGACCTGTGAATTTGTGGCAATTTTGATTTTTGAAAAAATGTTCAAGTGTACTTTCGTATGTTGATGCATAAATTACGAATCCGCAAGAAAAAAGCGGCGCTCTCCCTTATTTACAAAGTTACGACCCTTAAAAGTTCAGAAAAAGGCAACTTTTCAGCCTTCTTTTTCACAACATAAACTATTTAAAAACACAAGCATTCATTCACTAGGTCACCTATACACCTTATTCCTCTTTAATTGACACTTTTCAATTCAACAATCAGCATTTTTCTTATAAAAAACTAAATTTTAAAACGAATGCTTCTTCTGGTGACATTCTTTTATTTCTAGGTTAGTTACTAGTGACAATTCAGAAAAAAGTGGTTGGTATTTGCCGCCGCCAACTATTTCAAATTCGTAGATTTCGATTCTCATTTTGACGTTAGTGATTAGAAAAACACAAAATGAATTTGAACCAAGTTAATGATTTAGTGAAAGTGAGAGAAAATTCAATTCTTTACTTAGTTCAAGTAGGAGTGTTTGCAGCAACAATACGTTGTACCAATTACAATGAAGACTGCAAATTAAATTATGACACTTTACTGTATAGATTTAACAAAATACAGAAAATCAAAATATCGAAGAAAAATGCTCAGTAGGTACATTTGTTGTAATTTTAAAAAAAGTGCTAGAATGGAACCTTGAAATTAAACTTTACTGTATAGATGTAACAAAAAAAGCTCAGTACATTTGTTGTAATTTAAAAAAAATGCTAGAAGGGGAACTTTCTTTGAATGTAAATTGGAATTGGCATCAGTCGTACCAACTATGCCATTAACCTGAAAAACATATATAACCAAAAAGCAGTACCGTACATTTTTTAACATTTTTATTGGAAAAATGTTTACTGTTGAAGTAAAAAGCGTCAAGAAAGGAGGAATAAGGTGTAAAGGTGACCTAGTGGATGAATGCTTGCGTTTTTAAATAGTTTATCTTGTGAAAAAGAAGGCTGAAAAGTTGCCCTTTTCTGAACTTTGAAGGGCCGTAACTTTGTAAATAAGGAAGAGCGCCGCTTTTTTCTTTCGGATTCGTAATCTACGCATCAAAATACGTAAGTACACTCAAAACATTTTTTTAAATAGCCGGGTGCCCTCAAAACGAATATTTACCTTATATTTGAACTGCATATATTTGAACTACAAATCAGTTCATAGAAAAATGTTGTTTTATGTGTTGATCTCCAATAAACCATGCTCGATTTAGAAACTTGACGCGATAAAGTTATTGAAAATATTACCTGGACATGAGAATGTTCGTGATATTAGTGTAATCGAGGAAAATTAATTACAGTATATACTCAAATCACATGAATCCGTTTTTATTGGCATATGCAAAATTAATCATCAATATAGAATAACTTTGGATGACAACGCGATTGCATGCGTGAGTGCACCGCGTTAAATTCCCTTGGTTTTGAAATCGAAGGTTAAAAATAAACAAGATCAAATGGTGTTGGATAATACAATTGTACCTGTTAATGAACCAACTGTTTAGGTACATCCAATTGTAGTGGTGCTAAAACCAAATAGTGATGTACGTATCTATATGGACCCTCGTACATTAAATAAATTTATCAAACGTGAGAGATTCCAGATACCGACCCAGGAATTTTTTTTCTCATTTATCTGGAGCCAAATATTTCACGCTCTTGGATTCTTCCCAAGCATTTCTTCAAGAGCCTTCAACTTATTAAAGCTCTTTGTTGTCTACCATTACAACATGCTATGGTAGATTTCGGTACTTAAGGTTACCATAAGACAATTCATCACCTCCAGAGATTTTTCAAAAATATATTCACGATATTTTAGATGGTATTAGTGGCACAATCATGTACATAGACGATATTTTAGTTTTCGGTAGAACTTTGGGAGAACACAAGTTGAATTTGAAAACAGTTCTCACTAAAATCAAAGATAGTAGCTTAACTTTAAATAAGGAAAATTCGAAATTTTGTGTTAATAAAATTCAATTTCTAGGACACATCATTAGTGAACAAGGAATATCAGTAGATCCTACTGAAACTAAAGCTATCCAAGAAACAAGAAAAAACTTCAAAAATTCCTTGAAATGATTAGATACCTGTCAACATTCTTACCTTATCTTTCTCAAGAGACCAATCAACTTAGAGAATTACTAAGTGATAGAATCGTGTGGATTTGAACTGAAATGAACAAAAGTGCTTTGATGAACTCAAACGTCTCGTGTCTTTTGCAACCACTTTGTCCTATTTTGATCCATCCATTGAACTATCGACATCTAGGACACATCATTAGTGAACAAGGAATATCAGTAGATCCTACTGAAACTAAAGCTATCCAAGAAACAAGAAAAAACTTCAAAGATTCCTTGGAATGATTAGATACCTGTCAACATTCTTACCTTATCTTTCTCAAGAGACCAATCAACTTAGAGAATGACTAAGTGATAGAATCGTGTGGATTTAAACTGAAATGAACAAAAGTGCTTTGATGAATTCAAACGTCTCGTGTCTTTTGCAACCACTTTGTCCTATTTTGATCCATCCACTTAACCATCGACCATTACTTGCGTTATTAAAAAAGCCCTTGGATAAATTATCTCTTTGAATTCAGCGTTTAACGCTTGAACCTAGCATATATCAATTCACTTTGAAATACGTACCAGGGAAAGAAATGTATGTATCAGATACATTGAGCCGAGACGGAGTACTTGGAAAATAACTTCAAAGTATTCTCTATTCTATCTACTTCAAGAGAGAATGAGGAAAGGTTGCAAAAAGCTATTTTAGAAGACGAATTATTATACACATTGAAATTTCATGTGCTACAGGGTTGGCCTGATCACAAAAGTAGGGTACCAAATAATGTCAAAAAATTTTGGCAGATGAGAAACGATATTTCTCTTCAACTGTTTATTGAACTGTTTAACGTATAAGTTTGAAAATGTCCTTATAGGACGAAACTGCAGTTACAATTGAAAGTGGTAAAAACAAACAATTCTCATTTCTCATACTGTTATTTTACTAATTATTATACGGTGGGTTTTCTCAAAAAAACTTCGCCTAACTGAATTTTTTATATAAATATCATACATATTGTTTAGATGATATGAATAATTCTGATGGCTTTCGAGAAAAATACTTCGTTGATTCGACTAAACTGCCACTGTATGTGTTTATTTATTTTTAGATATAATATGGATTTAACCTGTAATAAATTTTCGATGAGGGGTTTTTACTGAATAAATGCAATTATCTCAATATTTACTGAGAAATATACCATGTATACAATAAATTAATATTGTAGTCGAAAAAGTTTGAGCACAATAACATATCCATAATTTGAAAATTATGTATAGTCGTTGAAAATATACATACATAAAATTCGGTGAACCTGCAGAAACGAATGTTAAGCTACTTTGAATTTTAAAATAGAAATATGTTTACAAAACATAAAAACCGTGAATAATGTAATTATACACGACAAAGTCTGGTAAATATAGAAATATCAACGCATACATAATAACTTTGTGATAAAACATTAAAAAAAACATACTATAATAAGATAAAAGAAAAAACTCACTATAACACATAACCGTCATCGAATCGTGATCTATCAAAGAAATATATAAACCCTTCATTTGTATATATAAAATAAATTTTCTTTTGAAAACTTTCTATCCTTTTGGAAAATACAAATAGGTTCAGTTTCTTCTCCTCGTTTGGGACCAAATTGTAATATTCAATAGGTACTTGCGTTTATATCTGGTATATCCTCAACCACCACTGGAAATGTGAACATTAGTGAATGAATTGATCAGTAACGGTCAATATATCTAGTTTTTCAATAGTGAACGGTAACTTTGATTAAATTTTGTAATTGTTGTTACTCTTATTGTCTTTTTTGCATTGAGAACGTTATCAAAATGTGCAGTATTACGGTTTAAAAATATCTACCTCAAAAAGCTGCTAAATGGTTAAATTTTTAGTAAATTCCAGTATATTTCAATAAATTGATGGATGTAGTCGTTACTACATGGTGGGAGATCCTATCTTTTTATACCACTTTTATTCGTTTGAAAATGTCTTTGTAGGACGAAACTGCAGTAACGTTAGTTATAAATACAAGTGGCATAAAAACAGGAAGTTTTATTTTTCTTTTTTTCTATTATATTTCATAACGAGGAATGGGAACGTCTATAAAGTATTACTCAGTTTACAGTTTATTTACAATATAAGAAAAACATTTCATTTCGTATTATGAAGTAGTGTGACCCTGTATATGCCAGAAAGTAAAACGAGTCTTCCTCTCTTTGCTGAATCGGAAATTCAGTCACATATTGTCACAGTAGGTCCTTAAAAAACGCCTCTCCCTTTTTTTTGTTCTGGACCAGATACGGAAAAAATATCGCGATTTTCCGGATTTGAAAGAATATATGAAAGTAGCTGTGAGTCGGAAATTGATTCAGGAATACTTTGAGAGATAATCAATTATCTACTCGAAACTTTCTAATTGAAGTCTACATTGTCGAAGAACTTAGACACCTCAAAGGCCACCCTCCATTCTAGGCCTTTATTCTCCGTTTGCTTCTGGACAATATTTCCAGTAAAACTGAATCTGCACGTGGCTAACTGATAATGTCCTTAAGATCTCCACAAATTTGAGAGAAGCGGTTGGCGATTCTCCGCTTCTTGGAATCCCAGATGGCTCACTCTTATTGTAAGCTTCATAAGAGCGAATCGTGAGCCTCATTTGTCAAGCAAGGCGATCTTGTTCCTTATTATCGTTCATTTGGATCTGAATGGGACGCATTGGCATAACAGGAGTAACAATTCGAAACTGAAATCGCATCTACGTTACCCACTTCATTTATAACTGCAAAGTAATTTCACAAATTTTCTATTGTATTAGTTTAATGTGCTGTATTGGAATTTCAAAGCATTGCCTTAGCTACTTTTGAACAACTGTTAACGATGGTATGCATACTAGAGAGATTATAATTCATCAGTCGAATAAGATAACGAGGATATCATTCTCAGAAAATTCTTCGCTTTTATATCATTTATTTCTCTTTATATCATGGTTTTTTCACCTTCTCTTTTTGTTAAATGCTCTTCCATAACTTTTATCAATGAAAGATTCGCAAATCAATTTACTTGTTTCTTATTTTCAATTCTTAATTTTTTTTGTACCCTATCCCGTTTCTACTATTTAAAAGCTGGTAGATCATTTGAGAAGGTAATATCAGATTCACCCCATTAGAGAATTCCATAGGAAATAGTACTGTGAAAAAGATCACGGTATGCCATGAAAACCTTTTCATTCAGAATGTCCTTGACATTTATAGATACACGCAGGTTCCTGATTCATTACTAAGATTGATTACTTGAGCCTCCCATGTCAACTTATAATCTGATGTTACTCTCAAACATTTCACTAGTGAATTGTCCTCTAGAATTGAGTTATAATTCAGAATAAAGAGTAAGTCCTTATATATTCGCAGTATCTATGCTTTTGTATGAATATTGGTACTTACTGAAAATCAATGATGTACTGCTTATGATTTGCGTTTCATAACTTGAGACTGTGTGCAAGAATCCACCTTCATACATACAGATGATAGACAGTTTCGAAAAATGACAAAAAGTTAGTTTTTTCTTGAGATATTTGAATTCAATGGCGCTTAGATTTTGGCGGTTAGCTTGTGTCGGGTAATGTTTGCCATCCTGATATTATGTTACAAAAAATAAGATAAATAGCAGAATTCGTTTGAAATTTTTCGATCACTTCAAAATAACGAGATGATTTTTTTTGGGAAAGAAAGTTTTTGGCTTTCTACTACTTCATCTTGATACAAAAAAATAACGTTATTCAGATTGGTACTAAAGAGCCCTAAGACAAGTGTCTTACGGCGAGACATCGATGTCTACCAGTGAGGATGACAGTGTTTCTTGTAAGTGAAATATCTACCTTTCATTAAGTATATTGTCTAGAAATCCTGTAAATGATATCTAATTCAGTTACACTAAGAATGTTTGAAATACAAACTGAGTAGAGAAAAGTGTTTTTTTTTTTGTATAATTTATGATCTACACATCTAGCAATAGACTTACTTCTTTTGGAATTGATTGCTTCCTCCCTTCCTTCCTTTGGAAGATTACCACATTTTTTTGTATCAAGATGGAGCAGTAGAAAGCCAAAAACTTTCTCTCTCAAAAATTAATCACTCCTAAAAATATAACCCTTTCAATTTAAACTAGATGATCTATAGAATACGTTACAAAAGAAAAATGATTTAAAGGAAAACTCGAATTTAAAGTGTTTCATATTCATTTATTTGAACGTAAAAAACATAAATATAATACCAATTTTTTTGTTGAGAAAAACTACGGAAATAAAATACCTACATATATTTCCTTGCCCATCAATTCAAGAATTGGTATCTCATTGTGGAGGAACGCTAATCACCGTCAAGTTACAATTCGAATTGTTCGTTATCATTTTCGAAACACTTTTTGGTACAGTTGTTTCACAAATAACATGTTTCGTTGCGGTACATACATGGTCGTTCCACATCAAAGCCTTATTTGTATGCGAATATCTAACTTCTAGACATTTCTCGTTATTACCGGCATTGTCGGGTTGATTTTCGAACCAGTTAGCGAAAAGTATAGGCTTGCCAGTTGACATCCACACCCAGTGTTCATCGGGCATGGTAGTACCTGACGTCCAGAACCAATATTCTCCCCAACCAACTGAAAAATGCAAATTACATTATGAAATTTGTTGATACTCTTGAAGTTTTGTCGTTATTGAGGAATACATTAATAATCATTGAATAACATTTTCAACATTATTATTAAGTGTTACGATCTTCATTCGGGTTTAAAGGCCGTCGTAGTTTGGAACTGTATCCTAACGTTTCGCAAGCACGAGTGGCCTGCTTCCTCAGAGGTTATTCATCTTGATTATTCACCGATGAATAAACCTCTGAAGAAGCTAGCCACTCGTGCTGGCGAAACGTTAAAGGATACAGTTCCAAACCACGACGCTCTTCAAATCCGAATGAAGATCGTAACACTGAAAATCTCGGCCGTGAAAGCCTTAACCAATTTATTATTATTAAGACCAATAGTTTTAAAAATACTAATTTTTTGCTTTTCCGGTATTGATTTGAGATTTTTCATCATGAACCAACTTTCTGTCATACTATTGACTCCATACATTCTTGATAAATGAGTTTCTCGCTGAGAGTTAGAACGCGGTATCAACAAACAAAACTGACCTACTTACAATTGTTTATATCTGTAAAATGAAAAATCTGTTGTGCTAATTCAGAACGTTTGCATTTAGATATTGAATTATTATAGTCAAATGCTCGATAACAATTATATGAATACGCCTTGACGAAAGACGAATACACCCGTATTGAACTTCAACTGAAAATTCCTCAAAAATACTACTCTTCAAAAAATAAGGCGAATTTTCATATTTCTCAGGAAATATTTATTCATTCATCAATTTCTATGTTGTCCCGTTCAAAGTAGTCATCCTCGGATATAATACACTTGGGCCAGCGTTTTTTCCAATCCTAGAAACAGTTCTGATACGCACTTTTTGGTATGTTCTTGAGCTTCCTCAGCAATTAGTTTTTCATCTTCTCAATCGTCGCAAAATACCGTCCTACCATGGGTATTTTCAATATTATGAACAGGAAAAAGTCGAAGGGGCAAAATCTGGTGGTGTTTGTTAACCTACATTGTAGGGAGTTGAGACTGGCCTGAACGAATTGTTCCTTTAGATTTTTTGATTTATAGCCAGTCTTCAAGTATACCCACTGACTATATGTGAAAAGTTTTCTTTCCTTATACGAGGGATTGGGCAACTTTCGAATATGCGGCTGTCTACCTACAGTTCATAGACAGATGAGGCGATGACAAACCTGTTGTTTGTTGTCATCGACTTTATGTTGATGATAGACACTACCTTGCACTGACGAGTGGCCAAACAGCCCGAAACCGGTCTGCAAATGTGTTCCAATAATTGAAAATCTATTGCGGCAGTTTTATCGCCAACAGGATTCGCAGGAATAATTTCAGTGAAGAATCCTGCAGTGACACCTGTCGGATATAATCCAACACCCTTCGTGGTATTAGCCAGGAGAGTAGTTGTTTTCTGATAGTTATCAGTCCATTAACCTACAGTGTAGGGAGTTGAGACTAGCCTAAATGAATTGTTCCTTTAGATGATTTGATAACTTTTTTATTAGTTCGAAGTTCGAACAAGCGAAAGTGAACAAGTGAAACAAGTACGATAATCATAAAAAAATTTGCGAATATTTTTTCATTGCAAAATTCACAAATTGAGCTACCAGAGTTCTACCAAATTTCAAATTTCCTCATATTGAGGGTTAAGTTTCACCAATTATACTAAAAAGTTAAGCTTTTCAAAAGAACTGAATGATACTCACGAAAAGATTGCATATGTTTCCATAGAAAATCGTTTTCTTCTTTGCTTTCAATGCTAACCAACTGCATGTCATGGTAGTTACAAAATTGCATGGCCTGATAGTAATTTCCCTGAAAATAAGTTTTTTATTATTGTTTTTAAGAGAATATTAATTTTTCTCAGTTCATTATAAAGGTTCTAAGGGCTAACGAGAAGAGAACAAGTCATAATAACACGACCTAGGATACGACATACGAACTTAACATCTTCTTATATACTGAGAAGACAACCATCCTGTGAAAATTGCCAAACTTTGATGACGGTTAAACACCGTCTCTTAGAATGCCACCAATATGAAAACGATCGACAACGATATAACTTACCGGATAATATCAGAACTTGCCTCATTACCGAAGCTATAAGAAATGTTTTGAACTTTCTGGAAGCAACAGACCTTCTCAACAAAATATAAACAGTTATCGTATACTACAAAATGGCTAATGACCTCAGTAGTCGATGCCAGAATAATAATAAAAAAAAGGTTAGTGGTTATTTTTATTTAATAATCGACAGTTTGAAATGTCAATTATAAGTTTGAGATTAACCTATATTTTTCAAGTTTAACTTTGAATCTGAATAAATGTATTTTTGTGAAAACATTGAGATTTTATTACTCATACAAATAGGTTGCCTTTTATGTTTCGGGATTTGGCAACTCTAGTGTTGCAATCTAGCAACTGACAGCTCTATCGTAAAGTTGGACATTTTTGAGCTTATACATACTCAGAACGTTTTGACATAAGCGCGCTATTTGTGTTGTTTACAGTAACTTAAAAGATTCATCTCGTCCCAAAATTGGAATTGAATCGTGAACATTTTCGTGCGATTATTTTTTACAACTTTCGACGTGGATTAACTCAGCNAGAGTTTCAAACCACTCCATATATATATTAGCTATAATCGGTGAAAGTGGCGATCCCATTGGCAGTCCCTCATCTTGCGTAAAAAATTCGTCCTTCAGTTGGAAGTAGCAGTTTCGTACACAGCATCCTAGTAATTCCATGATTACTTGTATTGACTGTACTTGTAAGAGACCCTACTGCATCAATTGAAAGGAAGTTGTACCAGACTTCGGTGACCTATTATTTTTAACTAAAATCATTAAAAACCAAATTGGTTCGCAAGAATTACTGCCACAATTACAATTCAGTGTTTCACCAAAGAGCCTTCGGAGAAAGGAATTTTTCAATTACACGAAGAAAAGGACAAATATTGGTACAAACTCTCCTCCCGTACGATCGCAAAAAGAATTTACCTCATGTATGCAAAAAATCGATGTATGTAAAATACTTGTATGTAAAATTTTTTGTTTTTACTAATATTTCAATAATATCATTCAATGTCATTCAGTATCACTCTATGTATATTTGTAATAATATCCAGAAAATCTATCAATTCACTATATTTAAAATTAGTGACCACTATTTTTGGATTTGCTGTATGTTTCCCCAAGCTGTTAAATAGATAAATATATAATTCCCTAATGCATTTTACGAAGTTTCGCTTGAAAAGAAATAATTGACCAAATTTGTACCTGGCTCCTAGACCATAAGTGAAGTTGTCGCCGAAAGGCTAAATTATATTGGCTGATTTTTTTGCTGGTTCATACAAAAAAATAAAATTGGTGTTGGTTTCTCGAAGACGAATCGTCGGATTTAAAATCTGTAAGAGACATCAAGTACAGCTTGAAAAGTGGCAACGAGAAAGTGATTTGGGTTTTGAATATCCTCTTGAATTTTGAATATCCCCATAACTAATTGAAATATCAGAAATTTCAAAACTACATTTCAGTAAGCTCTTTTTTTTAATTCAACTGACGTTGTATCTCTCCTTGGAGTATATGGATAAAAAAAGCTGCTGGATCGGCAACAAAAATAATCAATTTTACTATAATCACAGTAATTATAATAATTTCTGTTTAAATAATAATCTGGGTCCAATTTATTATATTATTTCCCGTAAAAGAGATACTAAACGATTTTTTTTTCAAATCGATATCGTTTATCATATATTGAGTCTGTAATTAATAACAGGTCAAGAAAACGTAGGTAATAATTGTTTTATTTAGGGTTCAATATAAAAATTTAAGTCTTAGGTTAGAGAAATATATTAAAATGCTTGAAACCATTGAATGTCAATCGTAATATTGTCAAATCATTCATTGATATCATTCAAGTAGGAGATCTATGCCATTATATTCTGTAGTTGGAATCAAAAATACCGAAATTAATGTTTATCTGAGTAAAAATGCAGAACTTGATCAGATATCTCTTTTCGAAGGTCAAGGTCATAGTTATTTCAATATCAGATTATGGTGAATATATGGTAAATCATGTAGACAAATAGGTGACATATTCAAGTACTTCAAAAACTATTATATTGAGAACAAAAAGATATGAAGTCCGATTCAAATATACGGGTTCGAAAAAAACATTATTTTCACTTTCCCAAAAGATATTGTTTTCTTGCCAGAATGAATTATAATCACAATACATATTTTTGGAAACTAAACAAAAATAATACTCAGTATACCCACCTCAAAAATAGCTCCAAAATAATACAGTCGCTCTCCAAATTTCTGGAGTTGTAAACTTGGCAAAGTATTGATTACCACGTCATTGCTAAGAGAGTCTACAAGTAAAAAATAAATTAATAATATGGATCATAATTTTAAAATATACGGTTAACTATAATTTTTTTTAGACTTCAATGGAAAAAATGAATTTCTTGTTAGAGTGTTTCAAAAGGAATACACTGTACATTATAGTATCATCTAGTATCTCAGGTATTGATTATTGTGTATTTGTTTGTATTCAACGAAATGAAGTGAAAAAATATTATCACATCACCCATCCCATACACGAAAGTTAAATTCTGGCATCACTCATATGAGGTCTGGTAATTAATGTTATGGAATAATTGTATTTTATTTCGTACGAAGTTTCTGAAAAACCAACTCAAGCTCGTATGTTTGATACTTATTTTAAATGGAACACTCTGCATATTACGTAATTTTTGAAATGAACTAACAATTTTTATTCTAGTATTTTACAGGATTATACTTATCTGTATTCGTTTCTCACTTTTCTGTTTACGTTTGTTCTCGACCAACGAGTCCAGACCCAAATTTTTCAAAAATTCAGGAAAGAAACTGAATTTATATTTTCCATTGAAATAACGTTCTCATAAAGTTGCATCTCATTTATTTAATCTTTTTTTCATTATTGAACAGGTTGAACTCATTACTTACTAACTATATTGGAATGTAATCTGAAAAAGCTTACCTGTTAACGCAACGTATCCTTTCACTGGATTTGAAGAAGCATAATGTAACAAAAAAAACAAAGCACCAACTATGCTACTCAAAAACATATTTGAATTGAATACGAACTAGTTTGAAAAATATTTTCTTCAGGTGCCACGATCGTTCAGCGACGTTGTCTGCTCTTTTATACCGACAATTTCTATCGGCAAGGAATGAGATTTGCTAGAATAATAAGTTTTTAGTATTTGGCCTGTGATAACCCCAAGAACCTGCTGAAGAAATTCCCCGATTACTTCGAGAAACACGATTCTAAGAAACTACTTCACATTATACGAACTTGTTTGGCAGTGGCTGTTCGTCGGAAAAGGCTAAGTAATTATGCAGTGGTACAGGTCAAGATTATTACTATAAAGGTGGTTGATAAATAAGTCGAATTCATGAAGATATTCTGTTTTATGACGATTTGATAATGAATATTCGATAGAATGTTTCGTGTCAACATGACCACTATCATTCCTTTTAAATACGGACCTGTCTTTTTTATTACAGATATTGATACAGCGATAAATTCGCAATCAAAGAGTGTATCACATTTGATATTTTATAGCGTTTCTTTCATTTGAAACAACAATCAAACAGAAAAACAATTTATTTTATCATATTAATAACGATAAAAATAAAAACAACAATAAAAATTAATTGGCGCTCCGGGGCGACTTCATTGATTCCAGTGGCGCATTTGCTTCATCATCTGAAGATCTTGATCTGACAATGTCCTCTCTCTCTCATAAAACAAAATGTAGGGTGTCTCCAGAGGCTCCAAGAGCTTCAATACATCGCCAGAACACTTCGTGACACGACTATCGTCAAACTTAAACCAGCCCGTTTCGTCTTTGACCAAGGCGTAATAATGACCAAATTCAACGCCAGAACCACAGGGAACAATGACTGCATGAATATTATGATAGTGGTCTGCTAGATTGAAATGTTCATCTATTTTGAACCTTCCAAAGAGTTTCTTGCTTTCGTCAAAGGATGAGTCTTTTTTGAAGATCATCAGTGTTATTATTAGATTGACTGGTGCCTCAGCTATACTTGGTTCTTTATAACAGTCAGTTAGTTTGGCGCATGTTTGGCAATACAGTCGATCATCACCTGTTAAAAATTCCATTTTCAGATGATTTAACAATAAGCTTTGCACGGACTGGTTGATACTCATATTAGGAAAAGCTAGATGAAGTTTCAGAAATTCACATAAGTTTTCGCTACCTCTTGGACATTCACTACAAAGTAAACAAGTGAGGATTTTTCCAGCAAAATATTTACAAACACAAGACGAGATGGACTGTATGGAATCATTCAATCTAGAGCGGTCAGGAGTATTAATTTTGCTATTGTTTTGCTCACGAAGAGTATTCAACAAGATCCCGAAGAATTCGGAACAATCCTCTTGTTGTCCTAACGAGTATCTAGTGGACTTCAAAGACTGCAGGAAATCGGTTGGAGGGAAAGATGATACATTCTTACGAAACTGCAGCTGCATGAACAGGTGTTTGAGTTTGATGAATAAGTAGAAAACATTCCCGTTCTCGTTCATTATTAAAACCTCGTTCTTGAAATTATTCATTGAATAGAACGGAGAAATTCAATTTTTAATTATGGGAAATCATCGACTTCATATTGATGATGGCCACTATCTATGGACACCATCTATAGGGGCCAAATAACCCAAAACCGGTCTGCAAGTGTGCCCGTTCCAATAATTGAAAATCGATTCCGGTAGTTGTATCACCAATACCATATGCAGGAATTACTTTTGTGAAGAATTCTGCACTAACACCTGTCGGATATAATAATATACCCTTTTACGTATCAGCCAGAAAAGTAGTTGTTTTCTTATAGCTGTCAGTCCATTAACCTACAGTGTAGGTGAGTTGAGACTAGCCTTAACGAATTGTGCTTTCAGACAATTTGATTTCCAGACAGGCTTCAAGTATACACCTTACAATTCGTGAAGTTTTTTTTTTCTTATACGATGAACTGGGCGATTCAAATATGCGGTTGGTTAGTACCTCGTTTACGGGCAGATGGGGCGATAACAAATATGTTGTTTGTCGTTTGCTTCAGCCTTGCTCCAGGAATGATACTCTAAAATAAATTTGATATTCAATTATGAGAAATCAGTGAATTCATGTTGATGACGGACAATACCTTGCACTGATTGGAGGCAGAACAGCCCGAAACCGGTCTACAAGTGTGCCCATTCCAATAATTGAAAATCGATTCCGACATTTGTATTGCCAACGGCATATGCATGAAATACTTCTGTGAAGGGAAATAGTTGATTTACAGCCAGTCTCCAAGTATGCCCCCTTACTATATGTGAAGATTTAAAAAAAATCACTCCGATATCAATTTCTGCTTCAATAAAGATGATAAATAGTCAAAAATGATAGTCACGTTATTAACATTTGTTGAAATTATTTTTTCCAATGGTTCTAGTTATAGTTTCCAATAAAAATATATTTTTCAAACCAAATTTCAGCAGCATAACATAACATTGATATTCAACGAAAGTCATTTTTTGTGGAGGAAAAAATCAGTTTTTTATCGACTTATTTAAGTAAAGAAATAAGCTCTCAAAAAAAGGAATAACTGCGTATATATTCGAATTTTTATCCATTTAAGTAAAGAAATAAGCTCTCAAAAAAGGAATAACTGCGTATATATTCGAATTTTTATCCATTTGGTAGCTACTGCTGAACANAAATGCTTTGTTGATTTTTGCTTTTCTCCATCTTTAAATACTCGAAAGGCTAAAGAAGTACGCAGAATTGTCTTCATTGGAAGAAAAAAATATTGAAAAATCTCCTACATTTGATGATGATGAAACATTATGAAAAATCTGACCTATTTTTTATGAGTAAAATTGTCAACTCAAAATAAGCACTGCTCCAAAACTCCAGAACTGTAATTTTTTTTTCCAAGCGCGTTTACCAACTAAATTGTTTTTGATACCAACTCGGATGATGGAACGCGAGTCGAGAAGAGTAGTGCAGTTCTGGTGTTTGGGAGTAGTTCTTCTTTTGGAATTATTTTATGTCAGAGTTTTCGGTTGAATTTTTGAGAACGTTTCTCAAATGATCTCAATGATTTCGAATTACTCTTGTATTTTCTAGTCCTAATGTCAAAATGCCATACGTTCACTTCGTTGGATAAATCCGAATTACATTGTCAATATCGCACGCATACCGTTAATTTGTAATGGACCCAGTTTCCTGTGAACCATAATTACCAATTCAAATGAGTTGAAAATTATGGAATACACCGTGAAATATTTCCCATTATTCACCCAATTACAAAACATATCGTCTCATTTGATATTCATACAAATTCACTTCTGTGAGGTGGTATCCATCAGTCGATTACCTAATTGTAAGAAAGAGATGACAAAAAGTATAGTGGAAATAATTTTATAATTATAAACTTTTATACAAAACCTCTTCGATTCATTCATCTCCCATCTATCTATGGGATCTACAGAAGACTAAATCCATGAATAGCAAATAGAAACGAGGCTTTCCAAAGCCCAGTCAGTCAGTTGCAAAGCCCAACTTCGACATCGACCGCTTCGTTTTTGGGATCTGGTTCAATCCAAATATGGTGTTATTTCAAAACGTTAAGTACTATTTTTCCGGTGAATTCTCATCCCAATGGAATAAGTGCTTGGTGTCAAAGTCAAACTTCAAGTAAAACAAAAAAAATCATAAGATGCGGACTTTACTGGTCACATTATACATCTTCACGCTTTTTGATACAAACATTGTATATTCATTGTGAAGGAATGCTAATCATTGTCAAGTTACAATTCGAAGTATTCGTTATCATTTTCGAAACACTTTTTGGTACAGTTGTTTCACAAATAACATATTCCGTTGCGGTACAAACATGGTCGTTCCACATCAGAGATTTATTTGTATGCGAATATCTAACTTCTAGGCACTTCTCTGAACCACCAAAGTTGTCGGGTTGATTTTCGGACCAGTTAGCGAAGAGTATAGGCTTGCCAGTGGACATCCACACCCAGTGATTTTCGGGCAAGGTAGTACCTGACGTCCAGAACCAATATTCTCCCCAATTAACCAACTGAAAAATGCAAATTTCATTATGAAGTTTGTTGATCTTCTTCAAGTTGAAAATTCATCCAGTTCCATTTATTGAGGACTAGATGCATCAGTATTCATTAGCTAACATTTTCAACATTATTTTTAGGACTATAAAATTTTGTAGAACTTATTTGGTGTAACTAATATTGAAAAACGTCCGGATACTTTTCCAAAAATTAAACCTTGTTGGAAAGAGAGTTGAAGGATATATCCAATGACTCACCAAAATATTCCTCTATTAATTAAAAATGTTTGAGAGCATCCTTCCGGTGAAGAGAGGGTATCAAAAAAGAGAGAAATGAAAAAGTATGACAGCTATAGTAGGTAACATTAACTCGGCTTGCTTTATAAAAGATATATCTGAAGTTCTTGATTCTAATAGCTAGATGGATTCTTCTTCTGAAGAGTGATTCAACATCAGATCATTTGTTTCAATAATTGAAGTATGAACACTTTTTAATGACACTTTAATAATGAAGGAACTACTCTTTATTTTGATCGTTGAAATAACTGTTTTCGATCTTATCGTTTTGCTGCTTTTTTATTATCATGGTTTTAAAGAAAACTATCGCAAATTCAAATTGTACGACTTAAAATTGAGAGCAAAATTGACTTCAGTCCCCCAAAATAATTTTCCGTCATGGTGTCTGTAATTTAGATATCAAAAAAGAAGATGGAAAAATAAACATCTATTGAGTAGGAAACACTATGTTCACATTACAATACCAAACAAGTTAGTTATTATAGCGATCAACTCCATTATTTTACTCAACTTGAGCCCAGAAGTGAATTAATTGAACACTGCTCTTCCAGGGTTATCGATATTTACTAGATAATCTTAGTGATCACTATTTATTATTGCTGATGAGTTCTACATCAATTATTGGAATTCTTCGGCCTAGTTCTTGAAAAACTTACAGTACCATCAGTGCCATCACTGAAGAACTGTCAATAAATAAATGATTTTGACGACATTGAAAGATAGTGGTATATTTTTCAATTATTTTCTTAGTCAGGTGTTGGATAATCAAACACTTCACGTGTTTTTCTTGGAGTAACAGACATTCTGTAGATGGTTTATATNTGGGCTATTTCCTAGGATGTTTTTTATTTATTTGATTTGAATAACTGATGATTGAGGTTAGATAACGTTTGAACCGACTACAAGGATACGCTACATAATAAAATGGACTTGATCAACAGTATTTTCTCGTCTTCATCTCTTCATATATACGCATCTCTTCATATATACGATAGTTGGCACAGTGGTCTCCATAAAATGCGTTCTGGTTTAACCAAGTGTCCGAGACTATTTTGGACTGTTTGAGATATTTTGTTTGTACGTATCATGTCTTGCGCAGTTTCCAAACAGTTTCGGATGTTAAAACCAGAATAAAACTAGAACAAACCTTGAATGAGACAATAAAATTCCTGAATGGTAAGGGTTTGAATAGGTTTAAGTCGTCGGCGAGTGCTCGCTGGCTTTTCCACCATTCCGCGCGTCAGTTGTTTGCGAGATCTTCGACAAGTGTTACCACACGCTCTGGGGCAGTGACTTCAATACATTGCTATTGTTTACCTGAGAATTGACTTTCACTTAGTGACAATTATAGTTTTCTCCGTTGAACTATGAAAATAACCGTTTTTTTTAAATAATTTTTAAATACATGCATAAGTTTGAAAATGTGTGACGTCACATTTGACAACCTCTGACAAAGACGGGGGGTCTAAAAGTTCAAAATTCGTGTGACGTAATTCATGGATGGCCCCGAATCATGAAATTTTGCTTTGTGGAATATAGAAAACCGAATATCGTATCGTTTAAAAAGAATTAACGACATATTTTCACTTGAAAGTTTACAAAACCGCGACACGTGTTTTGGTATACTATAACATCCTCGGGCGTCACGATACTCAACGCCGAAGGATACTATAGTATAGCGAAACACGTGTCGCGGTTTTGTAAACTTTCAAGTTATAATCGATTTTCATGAGGTATCGGCTAGTTCTATCATATTTTCCTAATATTGTAGTGTTGCCCAAGATACTGGCAGTAAACTATGATTGTTTGAAATTCAGACTACATTTTCCTGATAATTTCCGGAAAAATGCCTCATCGAGATTGTGAATATAAACTTTGGAGTTTTTGTAACCATCAGTTGCGAATTATTATTATTTTTTATATGTTGCGTTCTTTGAACAATATAGTCCACCACGACTCTACAGAATTTCAATAGCTACTGATTGATACTGGACTTTTTCGTAATACCTATATTTAAAATGAAGATCTAAGTTCACTTTACACTTCAAATGTATTGAATAAAACTCACGGAAAGCCTGCATATGTTTCCAAAGAAAATCATTTTCTTCCTTACTTTCGATACTGACCAACTGCATGCCATGGTAGTTACAAAACTGCATGGCCTGATAGTAATTTCCCTGAAAATAATTCCTATATTACTGATTTTCAGAAAATATATTATGTAAAACTACTTAAATAAATAACTTGGACTGTTTAAAAAATGAGGTGAATGTTCATATTTCTCGGGCTATGTAAATTCGATTAACGATTTTTTAATTTTTTTATGTTGATACACTCATCATGAACTTATGTTCGCAGCAGCTGTTTAGCATGTTCAGTTTGTTGGTGAGAGGCATAGAAGTTAGAAGTGTTTTGTGTATTCGGCAAATTTCTGCTATCGAAGAAAAGGGATCAAAGAATTTGTATAACATTTTGTTTAAAAAATGCAATTGAGTGCTCAACAACACTTGAAATGTCAACAGTAGCATACGATGAATGTACTCTGAGTCAGAAAAATGTTTCACAGGTGGTACAAGTTTTTTACAGAAGGTCGAAAAGATGTGAATGACGACGTTCCCGAAGGCCACAGACGTCAAGAACCGATGAAAATGTTGAAAAAGTGAAAAAAATTGTTAGCGAGAATCGTCGAATCACTATTAGATAAGTTGCTGAGGATATCGGCATATGGGATGGCCAATGCCATGCAATTTTTTGAAAAAATTTGGGCCTGAAGCATGTGGCAGCGAAATACGTTCCTAAATTGCTGAATTTTGACGAAGTAAACCGTCGTATGAGCATCGTTCAGAAATTGTTGAATGACGTTAACGGTGATACAGATTTGCTAAAAAGAGTCATAACTGGTGAAAAATCATGAGTATATTGTTATGACATATAAACCAAAGTTCTATCGTCCCAATGGAAGAGCCTAGGAGAGCCAAGACCGAAAGAAGAACGCCAAGTTCGATCAAATGTCAAGGTGGCTTAGTGCATCAAGGGTTCTTGTCAAATGATCGTACGGTCAATAAGGTTAAGCTTATCGCCCACTTATCCAGCACCGTACAGCACGGCCCGTCTCGTCAAAATGCGGATAGGATTGGAACCAGTGTTGCCACAAGCTATCTTATCATCGAGGTAGATTTCTGAAAGGGAGCGGGGTAGAACCGGGGTGGATCCACATTCACTTGATGACACCAATCACAGTGATGCATTGACGTATACTTATGATTGTCGTTCTTTGTTCTATGATCAATGTCATATGTCATCGCATCCAAATTTGGGTCAATGTGTTTCCAAACCATTCCTCGAAAATATTAGCTTTCATGGTCTTATGATAGTCAACATTGCAGTCCTCAAGTTTTTTTCCATATCACTTCAAAGAATTCAGGCCCATCCTTTACTTCCTCCGCAATGAACAATGATTAGTCGTGATCCTTTTTTTGCAGGCTTGTTAGGTGTACACATTCTCGAACCATCAGTCCACCTTTTCGTAACTGTGTCGTGAGTGTTATACCAAGTTTCGTCCAAAAAGAAAATTGGCCGTTGTTCTTGTCTATATTTAGTTATTTGTTCTGAGTATTTGTTACGCAATTCCACTATTCTTCTGCTTTCCATAACTCTTTGACGTATGTTTATTATTTTGAATCTAAATCCTAGTTTCTTTATCCAATTCTGGAGAGTTTTGTCACAGCAGCTGCTCACGTTATAGCCGGAAGTATTCTATTTCTTCCTTATGATTTCTGTTTAGGAATCTAATTGCTTTTGTAACAGTCGTATATTGTTTTTTTCAATGATTTTATTAGATGAACATCTGAAGGTTTTGGTAATCTTGTATCACATCGCGTCTTGCGTTCATTAGGCTTGTTTTTGACTATTTTATGTACAGTTGAGAAAGGAATTTCGGTCAAATCTGATGTTACTTGTAAAAGTTTCTTTCCCTCGAAACCAAACTTGAGATGTATATTCTTATATACATTGAAACATACTCTCGGTGTTTCAATATTCAAATGCATCCGAATCTTATTCACTGGTATTTCTTTTTCGCATTGTTCACCATCGCTATTGGAATCACTACACTGGAAAAAGTCTGCGTTGTTAACACACTCGTTATTACTATTTGTACTAGTCCAAGGACGTCACATCTTGAACAGATAAGAAAAATTTTAAGTAACTATAATTGCACCAACATCGAATTTCCACACTCAAATCGCGATCAGTTCCTGAACTGAACACGACGGCGATAACCAAAGGCCGCATTCCCATATTTATATTCGTCAGTCTAACATGACTTCAAATTTAATTTTATGACTCTTCAGCCAATCACAAAACTCGGTTAGTAAAAATTATCCAATACGAACCGCCAAGTCTCTACAGTCCACGTGGACTAGTTTGCTGCCGGTTCATTTCTATGTGTTGGTTTTTTTGGCCTTTGAGAGTGCCGACAACTTTAAGAGTGCACAATATCGGTTACTTCGACTATACATATACCTACATTTATATTACAGACTGAGATTGCACATAATATAAACATTTCCATATTTACATTCTCAACTAAAAATGTCGAATGTCATATCAAACATCGAATAACATTTCACACGCACAGAGCATGATCACGGTACTCGGTATCATTGGAAGAGCATAAGAGCATTGTAGTGTAACTCAGTACTCAGTCACAGAATCTCGGAACTATCGGTGTAACAGTCTTACAGTAAGACACAACCCAAGGAACCACCGCCACCAGCGCCAGGCACTCAGTCTACGCCAACTTTGCCACGGGTGCATCCTTGGCCGATGTCCAAATGTAATGACGAGATGAGTGTGCTGTCGTCGACAAAGCAATATATTGGATTCTTGTTTTCTCCAATGAGTCGTTGATATACAATAAGAAGTATATTGGAGACAATATGGAAACCTGGGGAATACCAGCGTTGATGGTGAAAGTATTCGAGAGATATCCATCGACTGCCACTTGCAGGGAACGTTCTTTCAGGAAGCTAGAGAGCCATACACAAAAATAATCCGACAAGCCATAGCATCGAAGTTTGGCCAGCAAACCCTCATGTCATACACGGTCCAAGGCCTTAGAAATATCATACGCAACAGCTCTTGACTCTCCATGTTCCAAGATTGCGTTATGGCAAATTTGGATCACATACGATAAAAGGTCGCCTGTTGATTTTTGATATCACTGATAGCAAAGCGGCTGGTCTATAGTTATTTGGAAGATTTTTTTTCTTTTTTTGGGAATAGGCTGAACGCGAGCAATCTTCCAACAAGAAGGAATTGAGGTTGAAAAGTCTGCAAAGTACTGGTGCGATTTCCAATAGCTTACAATTTCTATAACATGTTTTTAAAATAGTTGTTCTTGAATTTGTATTATTGTTTTTTCTCATATTTTCTCATTTGAAGTGAATTTGACAGTCAAGGAAAACACACTCCTCAGTTTGAATTGAATATATAATGATTTCACTGAAATCAATTTACATTTTGTGTACTTTAAAAATAACGCAATCAATTTTCATCTGGGTATTAATGCTAAACTTCATTAGATATCCCTTTTGAAGGTCAATCTTTTATCTATTGTAGATATGACAAAATCAGGATGGTAGTTTAGGTTATATCTGAAAAGGAACCAGAAATCCCACAGACTTGTTTTGATAGAAATCAAAAAGTAATATTTGATTTACCTACCTTATAAATAGCTCCAAAATATTACAGCTGCTCTCCAAATTTTTATAGCTGTAAACTTGGCAAAGTTTCAATTACCACGTCATTGCTAAGAGAGTCTACGAGTAAAAAAAATAAATAAATAATAAGGATTGCAATTCAAAAATATGAGTTGAAAACAATTATTTCATGATTCGTTTTTGTTAATAACATTCCTAGGTTCGAAAATATCTTGAACATTTATTGATTTATGGAATGTAATTTGTGAACATAAAAATACACTCTAACGTTACTCAATAACTGAATGAAATAACTTGTATCTGATCTCTCCCTTCTATACAGATTGATGATTCTAATACATATTTGCTTCGTTTTTGAGATGCTGTAATATGTAATATCCTTACACAGATCTCGTAGAAATTTGCTACAGTCATTTGAATAAGGCGCTCATTTAGCCCCAACTAGATTAAAATTATTAGGTCCAGTGAAATCTCAGTGGGCACCACAGCCAAAAATATTTACTGTGGTGGAAAAAAGTATTGTTGTTGTAGTTTTTAATTTTTTTAGGTTGACCAACTAAAATCACAACGTTTTTTCCGTCATGAATAATTTCACTAATGCTGAAATGGCTGGCATGCATTTTATTTATGGATTAGCAAATGGAACAGATATCAATGCAGAGAAATTCCATGTGCTATAACATTTAGATTCGTGCAAGATTATGAAAATGGGATTAAAAAATGCAGATGGTGCAAGACCAGAAACTGTAACAACGCCTGAACTAGAAGAAGCTATACTTGGTGCGATAGAAGAAGATCCTTCAAATAGTACCAGGAAGATTGTACCGCAGCTGGAAGTCAACCGAAAAACCGTATGGACAGTTTTTAAAAGCAATCTCCAATACCCGTCCAAGCTTAACTGCTTCGGGATTTTCACTCAATATTAATGTTTGGCAGGTTGTTGATTCATACGATGGCACACAATAATAATTTTTTACCAAATAATTCATTCACGGACGAAGCAAATTTTTCACGGGATACTATTATGAACTTTCACAATGACGATTTTTGGGACGACGAAAATCTCCGCTTTATTAGGAAAAGTCATTTTCAGCAACAATTTTCGCTGAACGTTTGGGTAGCAATGATTGGTGACTACCTAATTGGCCCATTTTTGGCGAGATCATCTACTCGTTTTGTTCAAAGTGCTGTCAATATGGTGGGTGGTGACGACTGAAACGCCACTGGACCTAATAATTTCAATCTAGTTCGGGATATGAATTCCGTTTTTTTTTTCCAGAAACGTCAACGCCCTATATATCAGAAACGAAGCAACTACGAATATATATGTTCATGAAAACAGTTTTTCTTAAAATGACCCTCTGAAGTTTCGTACCGTAGTTAGAAAACATCATGTATTACTTAGATATTTAGCAGGAGCAACTTCTCTTAAATAATTTTTTCATGGTCATGGGATTGAGATATCATTACGTCTCGAATTGACATTCTGTTCCATATCTTTTTTTTTATTCGAAGGGGTAGCATGTTGAGCCATTGTACTCAGAATAGCGTATGAGATATTCTGTCAATCTTTCGTATTTCGAAAGGTAATCTCCGAAACTTCGAAGTCCGCCATTTATAGTGTTCCATGTAAGGAAAATTATTGTTGGGGAGTTTTTTTTCAGTTTGTATCTGTAACTTCTATGCATGTTCTACATATTTTTGTCGATAGTGAAGAGATGTTTCCCACAATTTTTATACAAAAATGGAAAATTAGAAAACCAAAAACTTTTATTAGCCACGATTTAATCTCTCCTCAAAATTTACCCCTTTCAATTTACTTATTTTTCGTCCTGCAGGCAGATATTTCCAGTAGCCCACTGATTTTGAAGTACACTATAATGTTTTGAGTTTCTAGAAATAATCTAGTGAAGCATAGAACGTTTAAGAGCCAACTGAGATCAAAGATGACAAATATTCTTACATATTCCCACAAAATTTCATACGTTCTGTGATGCCTCTGTTGAAATGATACTGTTAAAACATTTTTCATTCAGCGACAACCTTTGAATTTCATCTGAGAAGAAGGAGATTTTTCAGATAGCCTCGAAAATGTTGCATGTCATTTATTTCCTATTGAAAAAACACACTTCAATGTGAGATTTCCACTTGAAAATTTACAAAACCGGGCATCACCAAGGATGCTTTTGTAGGTATTGCGAAACACGTGTCGCGGTTTTGGAAACTTTCAAGTGGAAATCTCACATTAAAATGTGTTTCTGAATACGTTATACTCGAGTTTCAACTCATTACTCACCAATTCAATTCGTTATAACTTACATGTTACTGCAACGTATCCTTTCACTGGGTTCGTAGAAGCATAATGTAACAAAAAGACAGCAGCAACCAAGCAACTCGAAAACATATTCGAATTCAATATTCAATACGAACTTGCTTGAAAATTATTTTCTTCAGAAGCCACAACGGTTTAACGATCTTATCGGTTTTTTTTACTTACAATTTAAATCCTAATAACAAAAAAGTGAACTGCTAGAATAATGAGTCTTTGGACTGAGATAACCACTAGAGTAGTTCACCGATCAGTTCGAGGTATTTGGTTCTACAAAATATATGAACTTATTTAGCAGTGGCGTCAGAAATGAATAACTGAATATTCAGTAGTACAGGTTAGGATTTTTACTATACAGACCGTTATTTAGCTGAACCCACTATTTCGTTTTTGTGAAATGGTAAGACTCTCAGCACAAGGTTGCTTCAATTTGACAAAAGCTGTCTTTTGAAAGACAATATGAATCTCTTTTCTGAGATAATTTTAAACAACAAAAATAACCGAATATTATTCCTTGGCTCTATCACTTCTATTTCAAACGATGTACTGTTTAATGTTTATTATGATCTGCTATGAACCAGTTTTCAAATAAACATTTTGTTCATTGTATTATATCATCAACTCCTTTTTTTCCAATATGGACATCTCATTAACTTTACATTTACATTTGTTACAACACGTGTATATCTTCGCATTTTTTTTTTTTTCAGGACGACACATTTAAAGCAAGCGTTTCTCAACAATTTACCAGTCAACCACCTGCAGCACCAAACTAATTCCATACCAAATTATCAGGAAACTGACCTTTCAATTATTTCACATCAATTTATTGTGTGTGAAAATATTACATGTTAAAATCGCATTGAGTTGTGCTTAAATAAGCCTTTTACATGCATCCGTTACCATATCGCTATCAATCTATCTATAGGTACTTGTATTATAAATGTGAAAGTTTGTGAGGATGGATGTATGTATGTTTGTGGCTCTTTCACGCCAAAACTACTGAACGAATTCAGATGAAACTTTACATAAATACAGCATAAATAAGCATTAAGTAAGTAGAAAAATTCTTGCTACCTGAGAACTATCTTGGCGTTGGAATTACAACGTGAACGTGAATAAAAGTCCGTGATAGCATATATCTTCCTCTTATGTGGTAGCCACTATATGCAAAATACTGAGCCATAAATACAATTAAATTGGATACTTTTTTACAATGCACAATTTAGAATATCTGTCAAATTCTTATAAAAATTGATACAGTTGTCGTTTTAAGTATTTAATTTAGATGAAATTTGTCTTTTACACTAAGTAATTTGGACGAACGTCTTTACACGTCACGTCTACTGCAAGACAACGGAGGACGATGCGCGGGGATAGAGGGGCGGTCTAAGCAGTGAAGCGCCATCGCCGAGAATGCGACCCGAACGCGGGCAAACGCGTGAGGGCAGACGTCGTTGACGGTTGTGTTAGTTTTGCGAAATCTCTTGTAGGTAACATAATTCGATTCTCGAAGCTATTCATTACTTAATGCAGTTGGCATATTTTTTCAGTTACTGCATTTTTGAAGTATAAATTACTAGCTGAAGCCCGCGGCTTCGCTCGCGTAAAATTTGATTTGTCGCATTAAGTTTCGTGACAGACCATTTCAAACAAATAGTTAACAATATTTTTTTTTATTGACCTAAAACTTCAGGTTTCCAACTTCAAAATTGACGACATTCAATAAAACTTTGAACCCCAATTTTCCCCTTGGAGGTGGAAATTCCTGATTGCCTTTCTTGATGCTTATTTACGCTATACAAATAATTTGAAGATCCTACTTTCACTTCCACTTATACAATATCAGCTGTTCCTCACTGTTTTACCCCCGTTACCATGGGAACCTACCCTACGTGTTATTCCAGGTCATGATCTATCTATAAACCAAGTTACATTTGAATCCGTTTAGCCATTTAGGCGTGAAAAATTAAAAAACGTAAAAACATATATTAAATTCATCCATCCTCACAAACTTTACGCATTTATAATATTAGTAGGAGTAGGGTTAGTAGGATCACCAATGTATTTCATTTCAATCCTTTCAGTTTTTTTTCTGATGCTATTCAATATTGTATTCGTGTGTACCAATTGAATGACTGACACTCTTATACGGACAGCCGAAGCTACTAAACCTATAGGTAGGTAGGTTTTTTGTAAAGCATAAATAAGCATCAAGAAAAGGAATCAGGAATTTCCACCCCTAAGGGAGAAAATAGGGAATTGAAAACTGTATTGAATTCAGTCACTTTTGAAGTTGTAAACCTGAAATTTTGGGTTAATGAAAATATTGTAACTATTTGTTCAAAATGGTCTGTTATGAAACTCAATGTGACAAACCAAATTTTATGCGGGCGAAGCAGCGGGTAACAACTAGTCTATCATATGGGTTTATCGTTTGTTACTGAATTTCTTTTTGGGTGTAAAACCACGAAGAAGAAAAGTAAATTATTGATAGATAATTATTTGGTGATTTAGAGACGAAATGTTAATGTAATTGATGTATTCATGTGTTCATTTTTTAATTGTTGAAGTGTGACAAATTGAATGTGAACACCAAGTGCGGATATTTTCTGTACGCTTCTTTCTCTGGGGGCTTGGACAACCATTCGAATATTTTCATTATTCTAGTATCCTCAGATACTGTACTTTTCTCATATCTTAATTTGAAAATGGAGAATATTCGTTCGGAATTTATTTCAAATACAATTTGAAACAAGCTCATAATAACCAATTTTGATAATGCAGCCACAAAATTACCATGCAATTTGATAACCTCACTAAGACTAATTATGGTCGAGGGTCACAATTAGCAAAAATTCATACCGATCAAAATCACTATATTCTGGTGCTAGAACAAACCGTCGATAAAACAAGAGCAAACAATATCATACTCTCCTAATGATTTTGATGAACTCACCGGATGAGATGGCGATGATGACATCATTACGAAGACATCATCTTATTGATCAACAAAATGCAGATCAGAACTCTAAATTGATGTTCTTTTTAATACTTTTATTTGTAACTGATGTTGTTACTGCAGTTTCGTCTTATAAGAACTTTTCATATAATTACAATAAACTGAAAATAAACCATAATGTTAGCTACTGTAACTTGATGAAGTACCTAAACTTCATTTACCTTTGTTAATGTTGGATACGTTAATTTGAAAACTGGTGAGTAAATTAGATCGATATAATTATGAACAGCTTGGAAACCACTAGATATAGTAAATTCCGACCTAGGTAAAAAACATTCATTTTTCGTACAGATATGTAGACGATATTCTCGCCTGTTTCAGTGGTAATACACGTCAGCTGAACCAATTTATCATATTTATGAATAATTCTTCTATAACCTTTTCATTATAATCAAATCGCTCGAAAATAAGTAGCTGCGCCATGTTTGTAACATGTATCAGTGCTTTCGTCAACTTCTGATCATGATCATTTCGATCTAGTTTATCAGAACTTTAGTTCGGAATTCAAACAATCACTGTAAATAGATTACCCCATTTTCTGAGATGGTTTCATAAGTGAAAAGTGGATTTGATCAAACTGGTTCTGGAGAGACGTCTCCAAAGTACCCCAGCCTGTCAAAAATCGGTGAAACCAGTTGTCTCTGTGAGAGGTTTCAGTACGTATCACTTTGCCAAGTGGCTTAGAAAACAATCCAAAACTGTTTCGATTTTACAATTTTCAATTTATTAGACATTTAACGATTTCGTGAAAGCAATGGGTATCCTTGAAACACAAACTATAACAAAATAAAAGAAAGGATTCTAAATTAACCAATAATACATATATACCAAGGAAGACTAAAGAGTTGGAAAAAAATATCATCCAGAAACTGAATAACAACTTTAGGGAGTAGGTACTTATTTATTTTTCAACAAGCACAAGCACATTATACATTAGATTTTTGGATATTTTCGTAAAATGGAGCATAAGAACTATGAATATCGAGAATTCCTTGAAAGCACTCAATCACTTTTCAAGCAGAAAAGCATGCTACAGACACTTTTGTGTCTGTAGCACTTTTGGACACTTTTGCATGCTACACAAATTTTCGATTGTCTTGGCAATTGCTTAGCATTCCTTTTTCAATTGTCTTAGCAAAATATAAGCTTTAAAATTGACACATGATGTAAGAAAAGACTATTGAGGAGTATAAGAAAAGTTTATTTGATAACTCGAAAAATTATTTCTGTACTAGATGATAACAAGTGGGATAGTTGAAAAGTTGTGATTGTTTGACTATAGGCTTTCAAATTCAGAAGTAAACTTCATTTTCTCCAATGATAATGATTAGAAAGAGTTGTTTCAATAACTCTCACGATATGTGAATGAAAATGAAGCAAAATAAATGAACATTACGAACATCAAAGATTAAAACGTAGAAGAACTGAAAGTAAAAATGTATATAAACTACAAACTGAATCCAATCAGAGTTATCAATTTGTATATCAATTTTCTCTTTACTGTGACTAGAATGTTATGAATTGAAAGGTGTGTAGATACACGTGAGATACATCGTAGGAAAATTATAAACATTGCATAACGGAAGGTAAATATTATTTCTGCATTACGTGAACTCAAGAATGCCAGCATCAAATGAATTATTAGAAAACATTTCTTGAATCGTTCGAGTTCTCTGACTAATGAAGAAACTTATTCATATCAGAGTCATATCACGTTTACGACATGGTTGTCCGTTAATCAGCATTCCTATGCACCTTCTGGTATTTTATAAAACAATTAAAAATAATGAAGTAGAATTTTTTTTCGAAACGAAGGTTCATTATTATCTGTCATAAACATTTTAATTTTCAAAACAATTTTTGTCTATCTTTTATTGAGATTTTTATTTGTTACCACCAATTTCGGATCATTGAACCATTCTCAGGTAAACTGACGAATTTTGACAATCAACTCCATAAGTAAACAAAGATGTAGTCAATGTCCTTCAGGTACCTGCCATAGGTACCTGAAATAATAAAAATGTTACTGGTATTATCAATACGTTAGCTGAGAAACTGAAACAATAATTATTCAACTTCTATAACAAATCAAAATTACTGACTATTGATCCATTAACACTACTTCACAAGGGAAGAGTTTTATAATTCTGTTTAAAAAAAATCTGTATGAAATCTCATTTTCCGTTAATCAGCTCTCACTCCTATACGAACGACAACTCTC